TGGGCACCTTAGGGCAGGTGGGCACCTTGGGGACAGGTGGGCACCTTAGGGCAGGTGGGCACCTTGGGGACAGGTGGGCACCTTAGGGCAGGTGGGCACCTTGGGGACAGGTGGGCACCTTGGGGGCAGGTGGGCACCTTGGGGAGAGGTGGGCACCTTAGGGCAGGTGGGTACCTTGGGGACAGGTGGGCACCTTGGGGACAGGTGGGCACCCTTAGGGCAGGTGGGCACCTTAGGGCAGGTGGGCACCTTGGGGGCAGGTGGGCCAGGCTCATGCCCTCGGGTCGCACTCACGCGCCCCCCTCGCTCCCCCGTGCCCGGAAGGTACGAGCTGGGGCCAGCGCTGTACCTGGGCTGGAGCGCCTCCCTGCTGGCCCTCCTGGGCAGCGTCTGCCTCTTCTCCACCTGCTGCTGTGCCAAGAAGGACCCGGCCACCAGGTGAGGGCCGGGAGGAGGAGCCATGCGAGACCCGACCCTTACCCTGGCCCTGACCCGGCCCTCACCCCACCCCGCTGTCCTCCCTCCGCAGGGCTGCGCCTCCCTACAAGGCCTCTACAGCGTTGATGCCCCGAGCCGTCTCTGACGAAAGCGGCGTGAGCTTTGGTAAATTCGGCAAGAAGGCCTACGTGTAGAGCCCTGGCCGCCCCTTCTCCTGCCCCAGGCCCAGCCTGGCTACGGAGCTAGCACAGGCCGGGTCGCGCCCCGACAAGCTCAGCACTCCAGCCGCTCCCGGACAGAAGCGCGGGCCGGGGGAGGCTCCTGAAACCCGCGCGCCAATGAATGTACACTGTGATTGCCCACTAGAGGGTCGCCTCAAACCTCACCTCAGATCTGCCCCCGTGGGGCCGTCTCCTCTCCTGAAGTCGAGTGCCTGGGGGTGTTTGCTACCCAAGCAAGGGGCCTGAGTTCCCATCCCCAGCCCCGTGTCAGAGCGGGACACACACACACACACACACACACACACACACACACACACTCCTGCTGCCCGCACACTCGCTCAAGGTGCGACCCTGTCTCCTGGGAATACGGTGGAGAGTGATGGAGCGAAAGCCCTCCCCACCTCTGCAGGCACACAGACTGCGCACACGCACACGCACACTCTCAACAAAAGGTGTGGCAAGTGATTTGAGGAGGGGACAGCTCGGGACGCTTGGGCTCAGCACCCTCAGGAAATTAGAGTGGCCCCGTCCCGCCAGGAGCCCTCGGAGGACGAGGGGCTCTGTGTCCTCACGGCGGTGGGGGCAGTTATCTAGGGCGGGCGTGTGCGTGCAGAGGAGATTTGGGGTTTAATAAAGATCTCTTGAAAGGTGCATCCTACTGGTGTTCCCTGTGCTCTGTGTGCCATCTGCGCGCAGCCCCTCTCGAAAAATGAAGGAAAAGAAGGCGAAGGTGCTGGCGGTTGCGTGATCCCAGCACCGCGGGGGTGGAGACTGGCTAGGAGCGGCAGAGGCGGGACAAGGAGATGGGCCGTGACAACAGAGAGAACAGCCGGGGGCGGCTGAGAGCACTACCTCCCCCTCCCCCCAAGGAGAGAGAGCAGGCGGCGACGCGGGCCAGCAGAGAAGGGCACACTGAGCGGGCGCCCCTCACCCCGGCCGGTGCCGCTGCGCCTCAGCTTCCTTTCCCGCCCGCAGAAAACCACGAGTGAGGTGTGCGGCCCACCCTGAGCACCCCTAACTGGCCGAGCTGAGCACCCCCAGGTGAAGTGTCTGTCTTCAGCCCCCGGGAGACAAGTAACTACAACAGACCAAGGACAACCTTTTGTTGTTTGTTTGTTTTCCAGACAGGGTCTCTGTGCAGCCCTGGCTGTCCTGGACTCACTCTGTAGACCAGGCTGGCCTCGAACGCAGAGATCTGCCCACCCCTGCCTCCCCTGAGGAGGGGAGGGGAGGAAATCCTTTAGCTCCCCTTTTTCTGTGTGTGCTTGTCTGCGTGTGTGTCCGCGTGCCCCACATGAGGTCCCCGCACAGGCCAGCCCAGGGCGTCAGGTCCTTGGGATCCTGGGTGCTGTGAGATCCCATGGGTGCTGGGAATAGACCCGGGTCCCGGAGGGGCAGCCAGTGCTCTCAACCGCTGAGCCAGCGCTCCAGCCTGAGGACGGCGGGTTTTGTCACACCCTCAGCTGGTCCTCTGCCCTCCAGGTCAGCCCTTGCGGTCCAATTGTAGGATAGACGCTTCTTGGACTTTTCAAACACCAGACACCAGCTGGGGAGACGGGCGAGTGTGCAAAGGCACTAACCCTGAAACCCTCTGGCCTACATTTGATTTTTAGAACCCACACCAAAGCCAGATGCTGCGGGGGGGGGGGGGGGGCAGTGACACACACACACCTTTAATCCCAGCACTCAGGAGGCAGAGGCAGGCAGATCTCCGTGAGTTCAAGGCCAGCCTGGTCTACAGAGTGAGTCAGAACAGCCAGGGTTACCAGAGAAACCCTGACTTGAAAAGCCAAAAAATAAAAAATGAAAATGAACAAAGCCAGCCGCCATGGCTCGTCTCTGTGACCCGGCACCCGACAGAGACATGGGATGTAGCAGCTCCGCTCGGAGGCCCGAGGGGCAGGCCCAGCCAAAAGCCTGTCTCAGCACAGCAGGAGGGAGCTGATCTCAAGTCGCCCTCTGGCGTCTACACACTCACCATGGCACGCGTGTGAGCACACAAATACAGAGGAAAAAACACTTCAGCCGAGTAAAGACGCACTATTCAAAATCAGCACTCAGGAGGCGAGGGAGAGGGAGCTTAGCCACCCGTGTGTGTGTGTGTGTGTGTGTGTGTGTGTGTGTACATCTATCTCAAGGCTAGCCTGGGCTATGTAAGACCTGGTTTCCAAAACCACGCTAAAGCAACAGCGAAGAAGGCAGAGCTGGCTGAGCGGCACTGGGACAGAGGACACAGGGCGACAGGGTGTGCAGCCAGCCCTGGCCGTCACCCGTAAACACGCCCACACGCACGCACATTCCGATAACCAGGCCGTTTATTACACACTCTGCGGCTGGACCAGCCCCCGCCGCTGGGGTCTGTGGCCTTCTGTGGCTCTGCTGGGTGGATGGGCAGCTCCTCTCTGTCCTCGGAGCTGGTTCATTCTGGCCCTCGTGCCAGATTTACACGGTCCACTTCAGACACCTGTGCAGAGAGGGCAAGAGCTCAGCGGGAGGGCGGGCGGGCGGGCGGCCCTGTGGGCGGCGGGCACGGGGGGAGGGGGGGCACAGACATGGGCACAGAGCAGGCACTGGGGTCAGGCACGGGGCTGGGCACGGGAGTGGGGACGGGAGTGGGGACGGGAACAGGCACGAGGGTGGGCTCGCTCACCTGGTCTCCTGGTGGGTACCCAGGCAGCGCACGGTGCAGTAGCGGGCCCCGCAGCTGACGCAGGTGTACGGGGATGGGAAGCCGCATACGGCGCAGAAGGGGCGCTGGGGCCTCGCCGGGGGCCCCGCGCAGGCCGTCAGGTAGTTGGGGCCCTCGGAGGCGCTGAGGTTCTGCGGGGCGAGGGGTGCCAGGCCGCTGGAGGCGCTGTCCAGGCCCTGTCCACCGCCCTGCCCCACCGGCCCTGCCCCACCGGCCCGGCCCCTCACCTGCTCCTCCAGCAGAGCCTGGAAGTTTTTCCGGAAGCGAAGTTTGAAATGATCCCCTCGGGTCTTCTTCTTCTTCTTCCCTGGGGATCAAGGGATGCAGGTGGCAGCTGGGTGGCCACGATGGAGGTGTCACCCGCACACTCGGGGCCGCCCTCGCCACCCTGCCCTCACCTCCATCCTGGTCAACCGGCTACCAGAGCCCCGGGTCCCCAGCGGTCTATGTGGGGACAGGAGCCCCTGCAGCCCCGTGGGCCGGGAACGCACATGTCACAGGGGTGACCTTGATCTGACCTTCCCAACACCTCGGCTTTTGCTGCTTCCACACGAGGCCTCACTAACCACAGCTGAGTTGGCCTGAAATTCCTGGCAAGTCTCCTGCCTCAGCTTTCGGCATTCAGGGCCTCTACACGCCCTTATACTGGTGGCCCCTTCTTTGTTCCACATGAGGAAACCGAGGCACAGGGCAGGCACTCAGCTGCTGCCCACACAGCAGCCGGGCCCCGGCAGCCAGAACTGGTTCCTGAGCCGCCTCCCTGCTGGGCCTCCCCGTGTCCTCCGTGGTGGGCAGAGGTGCTTGCTGCCAAGCCTGACAGCCTGAGTCCAGTCCCTGGGACTCACCGGCACCTCAAAGCTGTCCTGACTCTACCCACGTGCCAAGCCGTGGCACGCACGTGTGCACACAAGCACAGCCCACGTACGCACAAGTACAACAAGAGCGTTTACCCTTTTACCAGCCTTGCTGAGCGCTGGCGACGCCTGAGTCCCAGCACCTGGAGGCAGAGGCAGGCGGGTCTCTGCGAGTCTGAGGACAGTCTGCTCTGCACAGGAACAAGCCCCTCCCTACCAAGACCGAGAAGGAACAGGCCCCGACGTCGTTTGTGGCTTAGTGCACAGGTGCAGGGCTTGTCACCCTCCCTCCCAGTCCAGATGTCCTTCTCGTGCCAGGGGGCACCAGCCGACAAGGGGCTCAGCCCCCGACGTGCGCAGGGTGAGGGGCAAGGGCAAGGGATGGCATGAGGAGGCCTTCGGTCACAAGTCTCAGAAAGGCGGCCCCTGGCTGACATGGGGAGGGTGAACGTCAATCAACCGGAAGGACTGACGGCCTCTGACTCTATTTATAACCTGCTGACTAAAGATGGTTCTTTCTGTTGTTGCTTTGTTTTGTTTGCTTCTTCGTTCTTCAAGAAAGGGTTTCCCTGTGTAGCCCTGCCTGTCCTGGACTCCCTCTGTAGACCAGGCCTGCCTCTGCCTCCTGAGTGCTGGGATTAAATGCATTTGCTACCACCTGGCTAGAAGAGGGCTTTAGAACAGTGACGCGCTGCCAGCTCAGGCTGCTCGCTCTCTGAAGAAACTGCAGTGTTACAGAACAGGGGCTGGCAAGATGGCTCAGCAGGTAAGGGCGGGCACCTGTCGCTGAGCCCAGCAGTCTGAGGGACCGGAGGGCAAACGCGGGAAGCTCTAAGGCGGAAGGAAAGAACTAATTCCTGTAAGCTTTCTTCTGTGCAGAAATGCAGACACACAAAGTAAAGACGGGTAAAGAAGCAGGAACCACAGTAAGGGTTCAATTCCCATCTCCGCAGGGGTGGGCTACGGGAGCTTCGCGCACTGCCCGCTCTTCCCGCCTCACCTGTGTCTGCATCGTCATCAAACTGCGGCAGCCTCTTGCCCAGCTGGGCGAGCCCTGCGTGGGGGTCATCCTGGAAATTGTCATTCTCCAACGCCTCGAGCTGTCTGTTGATCCGTCGCTGCCTGGCGGCCCTGTCCAGCACCCGCCGCTGTCCAGGGTCCTGGGAGCGAACTGGAGGGACAGAGTTAGGGCGGTCAAGGAGGAAGGGGCTGTCAGGGCCGGGGCCACCCCTCCCGGCCTCTGTGCTGTGGACGTCCCGGCTCCCGACCCGGCTTCCTTCCAGCGGGGACGCTGCCTCAGCTTCATGCTGCCTCTGGCCGTCCAGTGCCGCAGTGGCCGCGGGCACAGGGAAGGCTGGGTGGTGAGGAGCTAGCTCAGGTCCCAGCGCCCACCGCGGTGGCTCACCCCCTCCACAGCTGCAGCTCCGGGGATCCAGCTCCCTCTTTGCCCTGCGGGCACCTGCACTCGCACACAGAGCAGCCCCCACTTTGAGAGAGAGGAGCGCACAGAGAGGATTGACTGACTGACTGCTTTCGGTCGCGGCACCGGCGCTGGGGGCCGACCGCAGCCTGCATTTCCAGAGCGCTCCTTGAGCGAGATGCACTCCTTGCAGTAAGAGCACCCGTGCATGACCCCTGCTCCTTCCTCCCTTGCTGGGGACGCTTCCCGGCCAGCTGGTGGCTCCCCCTGCTCGCTCAGGCCACCTTGGCTGCTCCTTCTCTCACTGGTAACTCTTCTTGGCTTGTCCCTTTCCTACCCCACAACCTTCCACAGGGTCTCACGTGTCCCAGGCCGGCCCAGGACTTCCTCCGCAGCTGGGAATGGCGGCGAGTGGGCTCCCGAGCCAGACCAGCACTGGAGAAAACCGAGCCACACCCCTACTCTCTTTCTTGCATTTCTTTATTTCTCCGCAACAAAAACAAAACACCTCATTTATTCTGAGGGTTTCCGTGCACGCGCGGGGGTCAGAGGGCAATCTTCTCCGTCGGGTGGGTCCTGGACTCAAGCGGTCAGGCAGCAGGCACCTCCACCTACTGGGCCGTCTCTGCAGCCCTTCCTGGTGCTTCTGGTCCAGGCGGAGCTGTGTGTCCCACACCATGCCAGTGTCAACCCAGAACTCGCCCAGACCCCAGCCTGGAGGTTACAGAGGGCGGCAGCAGCCGGCCGGCGGCGCGCGCCTGTGACGCGGCAGGCGGAGGCAGGCGGATCCCGGCGAGTTCCAGGCCGGCCCGGGCCACGCGGAGAAACCCTGTCTCGGAAGACCACCCACCAACCACCACGGCAGCCGGGCGAGCGGCGGGGCCCGCCGGGACCGGACGCAGCGCACGGGGCGGACCCCGGGGGCTCACGTACCCGAGGGCTTCTTCTCCACCATCGGCGCGGCGGCGCGGCCGGAAGAGCCCGCCGCGCCCGCCCCGCCCCTTCCGGTGACGTCGCGCGCGCGTGCGCGGCCCCGCCCGCCGCCGGGCGGCGGGACGGGCTGTTCCCCTGGCGACCGGGAAGCCTCCCGCCATCTTTGCGCGGGGCAAGCCCGCTTCCGGTCGCGGCGCCGAGGCGGAAGACGTCTCTGCTGAGGTGTGACAGCCGCCGGCGCAGCGTCCCTCGGCGGCGCGGGCGCCTTCCCGAGCCCCGGAGCGGAGGCCGCGCCCCGGAGCCGCCCCCGGAGCCGCCGGCCATGGCGGCGGGCGCGGAGCCCCGACGGCTGCTGCCGCCGCTGCTGCTGCTGCTGCCGCTGCTGCCGCCGCCCTCGGCCCCCGCCACGGCGCCCTCCGATCGAGCCCGCGGCGCGCACGCGGTCAACCCAGGTGACCCCCGGGGGCGGGGGTGGGGTCGCGCGTCTGCGGCCGGGAGGGCGGCACGGGCCCCGCGTGTCCCCGACCCAGCGCCCCCGGGAGCAACGGGGAGGGGAGGGACTCGCGTGGGACGCGTGGGCTCAAGGCGCGATCCGTGGCGTGACAGACGAGCTGCTGGTGATCACCGTGGCCACGGCGGAGACCGAGGGCTACCGGCGTTTCCTGCAGTCGGCCGAGTTCTTCAACTACACCGTGCGGGTGCGTGCGCGGCCCGGGAGGAGCTGGGCGGGCGCTGGGCCCGCGCCCCACGCTGAACCCCGGCCGCGGGGCCTTTCCTGCAGACCCTGGGCCTGGGCCAGCAGTGGCGAGGCGGGGACGTGGCCCGCACGGTCGGCGGCGGCCAGAAGGTCAGGTGGCTCAAGCAGGAAATGGAGAAACACGCGGAGCGGGAAGACATGGTCGTCATGTTCGTGGACAGGTAGCGGGGGACCGAGGGGAGCCGGCGTGAGGAGGAGCCCCCCCCCCGCCCCCCGCGCGGCTCATCCTCCTCTTCCTGGCCCAGCTACGACGTGATTCTGGCGGGCAGCCCCACGGAGCTGCTGAGGAAGTTTGTGCAGAGCGGCAGCCGGCTGCTCTTCTCCGCCGAGAGCTTCTGCTGGCCCGAGTGGGCGCTGGCGGAGCAGTACCCCGAGGTGGGCAGGGGGAAGCGCTTCCTCAACTCTGGAGGTGAGTGCCCCGGTATCCAGGACAGGGCGGCCCCCATGGCCCGCGCTCGGAGCCTGAGGGCGGAGAGAGGGGTGCTGCGTCTTGGGGGTCTCACCCTCTCTGTGCCCGCGCCCCAGGGTTCATTGGCTTCGCTCCCACCATTTATCACGTCGTGCGCCAGTGGAAGTACAAAGACGATGACGATGACCAGCTGTTCTACACCCGCCTGTACCTGGACCCCGGGCTGCGGGTAGGGAGACGCTGGGTGGGAGAGAAGGCATGAGGGGAGTGAGAGAGACGTCTGCTCACTGCTCCATCTTACGTCATCTAGGAGAAACTCAAGCTCAATCTGGACCATAAATCCCGGATCTTCCAGAACCTCAATGGAGCCTTAGGTGAGAAAGAAGGTGGTTAGAGGTGGGTGATGAGGGCCGGCCTTCTGCCAGAACTGGCAGGTGTACAGGACCAGTATGCAGCCCACCAGCACCTACGCATTTGTTAGCAGTGGGAGGCTGGGAGAGTGGCTCAGCAGCAAGTACTGCGGATTTGCCAGTGAGGGGCTGGGTGTGGCTCAGTGGTAGAGCCCCTGCCTAGAATCCCCCAGTGAGGGGCTGGGTGTGGCTCAGTCGTAGAGCCCCTGCCTAGAACGCCCCAGTGAAGGGCTGGGTGTGGCTCAGTGGGAGCACACCTGCCTAGAGTCCCCCAGTGAGGGGCTGGGTGTGGCTCGGTGGTAGAGCCCCTGCCTAGAATCCCCCAGTGAGGGGCTGGGTGTGGCTCAGTCGTAGAGCCCCTGCCTAGAACGTCCCAGTGAGGGGCTGGGTGTGGCTCAGTGGTCACCTGCCTAGAATCCCCCAGTGAGGGGCTGGGGTGTGGCTCAGTGGTCACCTGCCTAGAATCCCCCAGTGAGGGGCTGGGGTGTAGCTCAGTGGTAGAGCCCCTGCCTAGAATCCCCCAGTGAGGGGCTGGGGTGTGGCTCAGTGGTCACCTGCCTAGAATCCCCCAGCGAGGGGCTGGGTGTGGCTCAGCGGTAGAGGATTATGGTTTGTCCGGCATACAGAAACCCTAGGTTCAATTCTTAGCACCACCCAAAAGCAAAAAGAAAAGAGTGGCGGTTGGAGCTCACATACCTGTGAACCGCACATGCTAAGGCACGAAGTCAGGGACCCTGCCACCGTGACTTCCTTCACTCAGAGTGACAAAGGAGTATTGGTGTTCCCTGACTTCCCACCTTGGAAGGTCCCTGGCTCCCTCAGGCACTAGTGAGGTACCACCCCAGGCCGCCCGGGGGGAGTGGCAGAGCCCCTGGGATGGCCCTGGCAGCAGCCTGGTCAGGTGTGGCGCCGTGTCCTTCATCTCAGGAGGCCGAGGCAGGAGGACTTTGAGTCTCAGGCCACACCGTGAGAACCCCAGAAAACCCCTGGAGACTCCCCTCGTGTGCTTGTTTAGGAGGGGTGCCTTGGTGCCGTGGGCGTGGGCGGTCAGCGCCAAGACGCCGATCTTCCCTTCTGTGAGTTCCTGCGTGTGGGGCCTTGGCGCCAGCTGCGGGCTGACCCTGAGAACAGATCAGCATCTGTAATACAGCTTGAGTTTGCAGCAGTGCAGAAGCCTTGACAGCTCCAGTCCGGGGACCTTCGGGCCGGCCTCTGCTCCGTCCCTGAGGGGAGCTGGGAAGCCCCACTCAAGCTTTAAAGAGCCTGTTGCTTTGTGGTTCCCAAATAGAGGGATCCCCAAACCTTCCCCCTTCCTCCACAGATGAAGTGGTCTTAAAGTTCGACCAGAATCGAGTGCGCATCCGAAATGTGGCCTACGACACGCTTCCTGTTGTGGTCCATGGGAACGGCCCCACTAAGGTGCCCCCGTGTCCCCCGCTCCTGCCTGTCTCTAGCCCTGGGTACCCCGGCCCTCCTGGACCTCCCCAGGCCCAGTGGGAGCGTGGGGCGGCTGCCTCCTCACCTTGCTGGCTTTTCCCTGTGCTGGGCCTGGCTCGCCGCTCCCTTTAGCCAGCCCTCCCTGTCCCAACAGCTGCAGCTCAACTACCTGGGCAACTATGTCCCCAACGGCTGGACTCCCGGGGGAGGCTGTGGCTTCTGTAACCAGACCCGGAGGGCACTCCCGGGGGGGCAGGTGAGGAGAGGCGGGGTGGGCAAGGGCAGGGCTCAGGTGCTCCTGGTCTCCATGCCCGGGCACTGTGGGCAGAGGCCTGGGCGCCCCCGAGCCTGGTCCTGTGGTCCCTACAGCCTCCCCCCCGGGTGCTGCTGGCCGTGTTTGTGGAACAGCCCACCCCCTTCCTGCCTCGCTTCCTGCGGCGCCTGCTGCTCCTGGACTACCCCCCCGACCGGATCTCCCTCATCCTTCACAACAACGTGAGCCAGCCGCCCCCCCGCACCTCTTCCTGGCTGCCCGCCCTGACTGCATCCCTGGGCACCCGCTCTGCCCTCTGTGTGCATCTCTGCCCTCGTCCCCAGGAGGTGTTCCACGAGCCTCACATCGCGGACGCCTGGCCAAAGCTCCGGGACCACTTCTCAGCCGTGAAACTCATCGGCCCGGAGGAGGCGCTGAGCCCCGCAGAGGCCCGGGACATGGCCATGTGAGTCTGCCTGGCTGCACACGCCGCCTCCTCCTCCTCCTCCTCCTCCTCACCACCCTCCTCCCCGCCCCTCCGCGCACGGTGGGGCCCTGGAGAAGGAGACACTGCCCTTCGCCCTCGCCTCGGAGCTGCGAAAGCCTCGCTCACCTGCTGTCCCGGTGCCCTGCCCCATGCCGGCTCCTCTCCCTGTGTGGGCCTTCTCCTGCAGGGATAGCTGTCGGCAGAGCCCCGAGTGCGAGTTGTACTTCAGCCTGGATGCTGACGCCGTCCTGACCAACCGGGGCACCCTGCGCGTCCTGATTGAACAGAACAGGTGACGCCCACTCCGAGGAGCCCACGCCACCCGGCTCCCCGCTCCCCGTGGCCGCTCTCCTCCGTGGAGCCCACGCCACCCGGCTCCCGGCTCCCCGTGGCCTCTCCCCCTCCGTGGAGCCCACGTACCTCCTCTCCCAGCTCCCCGTGGCCTCTCCCCCTCCGAGGAGCCCACGCTACCCGGCTCCCGGCTCCCCGTGGCCTCTCCCCCTCCGAGGAGCCCACGCCACCCGGCTCCTGGCTC